CTATTTTTTTTTCAATTCAACATAGTTTCCAAAGGGAGAGTCATGCTCAGTTTGAATGTGCTTTTATCAAAAATTTTGTTGGCATGATAAGATTACAAGCTGATCAAGAAAATCACTTAAAAATTTTCAAATTTTGGTCTCCAGATTGCTAGAAGGCGCAGGAAATTGTAATTCTATTTTTGATTATGGTTTTATGACCTACTCTTTTTGATGAGAGTCTGCTATGATTGAATGTTTTACCAATAGTTATGTCCATCTTTTTCAACTTTCGACTTTGTTTCGAATAAAATTCCTAATATGCATAATGTGATATAGCACCTGCTATAAGTTAAAAAAAATATAAAGTATAATCTGGAAACTGTTCTGATTCTTTTTGAGTGAATTTTTAGCATTTTTTTGATGCAGGACTTATGGATCAATATTAGATAGTCGGGGCAGCTTTCAGGATAACTAAATCGTTGAAAATCAAATATTCACATCACAAAATTTTATGGATGTGTTTTTGCGGACGAATTGGAGGTGTTGCAATTTTCGTCCCCAAATGATGTGCAAATAAAGGCTAACTGCTAATCTCTTTTCATAACATAGCAATAATTACAGTATCCCAATAAAAAAGCACACAAAAACTACAAAACATTCTCAATATTCGGGAAGTTATTGAAGTTACTTGCGCGTGAACATAAAGCTGTGTTGCTTAAATTCGAAAACAACTTCGTAAATCTGAAAGAACTAATCCACATTATTATTGCAAACGAGTAAAAAATGTAGCGCTTGAAACTTAATAAAGTGCGGTTCATATTTATACGAACAACCAAAATTTTGTAAGTTTTCGGACTTTTTGGGAGAAACTCAAAAAGCCGTTGGTACCATGCGATAGAACACAGCCGAAAACGGTATATGATCCATAAGAATGGAAATCGATGTCAACTGTAGGAGTGTTTTTGCGCCTAATGCGAATTTTTAGCAGTTCATAATTATACGAACACCTCAAACAAAGGTCCATTTTTCATTCAAGATTGCAATCATTTGAGTCCAAATTTTTTGTAGAGTTACAGTGACAAAGTCTGACATATCTGCCCCACACTGAACCCAGTGCAGTTCAAAACGATTACCGTTACTTTTTTTAGAAGGCTCTAAATGCTTTTGGAATGATTGCGCTCCGAAAACATCCGTTCTTCTGTGGTTTACGCGCTCTAAGTAGCTTCTACCAAAGCTACGAGATAGAATAAGCTCTTTCGATAGGTACTTTGTTTGACGCTTGGAAAATCTTTGCGTTTTCGTGCCGTTTTTCAACCAAGTTTCAACCTTACCACAGAGTTGGCACGATTTCGAGCCTCAAAACGCAGCTTCTCTCTTGCGCAAACATTTGATATGAAGCAGCTGCATTGTTTGCTTGATGTTGTTTCTGTGCCAAAGTTTTTGGGTTTCTTCTAGAACTGATCTTGCGGCTGTGGAGCTGCAAACCAAATAAAGGTGTGATTGCAATAGTAAAAACAGTATTTTTGGTGAAATGACGTCTGCGTGACCAAAACAAACGCTCAACGCTGCTGATTTTTTCTAACCAAATATAAAGTCTTGTGAACTTCTACATACTACATGATTACTTCATTGTACGGCTTCAGAAGCTGAGTTTTGAGGCTCGAAATCGTGCCAACTCTGTGGTAAGGTTGGAACTTGGTTGAAAAACGGCACGAAAACGCAAAGATTTTTCAAGCGTCAAACAAAATACCTATCGAAAGAGCTTATTCTATCTTGTAGCTTTGGTAGAAGCTACTTAGAGCGCGTAAACCACAGAAGAACGGATGTTTTTGGAGCGCAATCATTCCAAAAGCATTTGGAGCCTTCTGAAAAAAGTAACGGTAATCGTTTTGAACTGCACTGGGTTCAGTGTATGGCAGATATGTCAGACTTTGTCACTGTAACTCTACAAAAAATTTGGACTCAAATGATTGCAATCTTGAATGAAAAATGGACCTTTGTTTGAGGTGTTCGTATAATTATGAACCGCTAAAAATTCGCATTAGGCGCAAAAACACTCCTACAGTTGACATCGATTTCCATTCTTATGGATCATATGCCGTTTTCGGCTGTGTTCTATCGCGTGGTACCAATGGCTTTTTGAATTTCTCCCAAAAAGTCCAAAAACTTACAAAATCTTGGGTGTTCGTATAATTATGAACCGCACTTTACATCCCCACATCAGGTCAAGATTTATCAATGGGCCTTCTCCCATTCTCCGAAATTCTGGACATTTCTGAAGCAGAAATGAATAAGCTACCAAAAAATGCCATGTTCTCAACTGTTTTGAACTAGTAAGGTGACAAAAAAAAGAAGAGAATAGTGTATTCGCCACAGGCCAAAACCAAAAACGGTTTCTTGGGATTATATGCAAGCAATGAAGAAAATTCACCCTGCAGCTCTGCAGCTAATCCCCTTCACTTCCAGATTGGCCATGCAAGACAAAAAAATGACTAGAGGTCCAAAAAATTTCAATATCTAAATAGTTCAATTTTGGTGTGTGCTCAAAAATTCTCCAAAAAAAATTTTGAAAAATAATGGTAATCGAAATCAACATCTAAATCTATTCAGAAGAAGCCAATTCACTCTTCCATGACCTCACAGGTATGAATACACAGTACTATTTAAACAGCAGCAAAAACTCCGAAATTCTCAATCACCGCTCAAAACCGCCCACCTCAACCTCCGCACACGTGCGCATTGAATGTGAAGTGCTGTTCAAACAAAAAATTTTGCCAAGGCAAAGGTGTATAGCCGTGATAAACTATAATTAGTACGCAAACAATTTATTTCAGGAATCTCTGTTCCGAATATTTCAAAAAATACCCCGCTTCAGGTGAAAGTGGGTCAAAAGTTTGGATTAGAGATAACCTAGATCCCTAATTCAAGCAGAAGACATCGACAAATAATCAAACAATTCATCCTAGCAATTCTTGCTTCAGAAAATATCCTCGGCGTGAAAATAGATCAAAAGTTTGGATTAGAGCCTTAGGTCCCAGGTAAGCGGGATAGGTCACCAAAAATCAAGCAATTCATCCTGAAGTTTCTGTTTCGGAAAATTCCCTGTTTCAGGTGAAAATGGGCCGATAGTCTGGAATAAGACGAGAATCCAAATTCCTGTTCAAGCACGATACATTGGCAGAAAAAAAATTCATCCTTAAATTTCCGTTTCACTCCTATTTCTGTGAAAATGGGTCAAAAGTCTGAATTAGAGCAAAAGCTGAATCCCTGGTTCAAACACGAATCGACAAAAAATTAAGAAATTCATCCTAAAATTTCCTGTTTCAGAAAAGTCCCCGTTTCAAGGGAAAGATCACAAGTTCGAATCAGAGCAAAACCTAAATCTCCGATTTAAGCAGAATGCTTGAGAAAAGATGAAACTTAATCTTCAAATTTCTAGAAGTCTGAATTAGAGCGAAAGCTAGATGTGCTGGTTCAAGCGTGACTATTTCTGCAAAAGAACAATTCACCCAATTTCCCATTTCAGAAATATGAAAATGTGTCAGCGATTCAAACTGGCGCAAAACCTGGATACATCACTTCAAGCGTGACCACATTGACAAAAAATCAGTTATACAATGATAACAATGACATAAATGCTTATGATGCATAGATAAAATGATTACGTAGCCCCTCTTCCCCCCCCCCCCCCTCCTCCCCGCTCTCAAATGCACTCTCTCGCTCGCCAGCATGACGTTGTTGACAATAGCGCGCATTAAATTCGCGCTATTGCACGTATTCAAAGAGTTTCAAATTGAGAAAGCCTCAAAATGTGGAATTTTCTCGAACCCTGGCTCCTTTGACCCTTCGATTATGGGCCATTATCGAAACAAAAATGAGATGTAGCCAACCGACGTGACCGCCTTGTCTGCACTCACACACACAGCTCTCTCCTCTACTGCTGCTGACGAGGGACAGCCATCGGCCAGCAATCGATCCACATCCCTCGCCTGTCTCTCACTCAGGCTGTGTATGTAGCTCATATACATAGAGATATACGCCTATACAGACAAAGATATACAATCTTGAGGTGGATACATAGTCCGGGAAGAAGAGTCCAGTAAAACTTGTCATTACGAGTTTTGAAACTGCAAGAATCCCACAGATCCAATAATAACAATTCTACAAAACTGCTCCAGTAAATCTTAACCTTTTTTTACAACCAAAAATATTTGCTACAAAGGTAATTCAACAGTAAATCTGACCCCTACTTTATTGAAATTTGGCGAATCCAAGAAAAAAAAACGGTTATCACAAAGTACGAGCAGAGAAACTAGTCAGCGAGTGGAGATTTTGCAAGCGGAAAGGTCATATAATGACTATGCGAATAGTTCTGAATCATTCCGAAATTTTCGTTGTTGTGGTTACAACACAAAACCGAGATTTACTGATTGAAGGTTTACGTAGTGGGCAAAAGTTCAAAACATATCGAGACTGGCATCTGACGGACAAAAATCCCTAATCCAATCATTTAGAACGCAAATTTAAACTGTCAAAGGAAATTGGAAACGAGGAGGGTGCACGATGAATGTAAACGAAGATTATCAGTTTTATACAGGCGCAAAAATAGTTTCCAATCGAGGACACAGGTATAAATGTAATCAAAATCCAAGATAATCTGCAGAAAACCTCTAAAGAAGTGTCGTATATCTTTGCAGCTAGTGAGATGTATTAAAAAGAGAGGCAGTGACAAAGCAGCTAATTTAATTCATCTAGGAATCAGCATTTTTGCAAGATATATTAAGAAGAGGAAGTGTAAAAACGCGGAAAAAAGAAATGATTCTACTACATGGTTGATTTTCAGACATTGCACATGAAGCTGTAAGGAACTGTGAGAAAGCCAATGAAACATGTGTACGAATTCGGTGCTAGCTGAACCCGGAATGACCTCAGATGGAATGGAAAATTAATGAACAAACGAAGCGAGTAAAAATACGGAAACTATTGAAAACACAAAAGATACAACAGAAACGGAACAGTACCTCATTTAATTTCCTGACACTAGACATGGAGTGCTGTCGCATGCCGCCACCGGCCCGCACGAGGAAACACAACGGCGGACGGGGGGCGGCGACGACGACGAGACGAAGCAGCACAGTACGCGGCGTAGACCGAGTACGGTACCACTGGTGTAGGCTGATGTAGCTGGTGACTCTCGATTAGTGATGGAGCGGTGGCAGAAATGATAGTGTGAGTAGTCAGCAGCGCGGGGGAGCGGTTGACGGGGGGTTCGCAGGGAGCGCAGCGCCACGCACAGCCCTCGACGGGGGAGGACGCTGGGCGTCGCGGCGAGGCGCACGGGGTCAAGCGACGCAATTAACACACTAAGACACTGTGGCTGTGGCTAAGTACAGTCTCCACACACGCTAAGAGGAGTCCGGGTACACGGGGGGGCACGGGCGCGGTGTTGCGGGGACCGGGAGACACAACGTTGCCGAGGCCGTCGCGGGAGAACTCGCCGCTCTCAGAACAGCACGACGGTGAGCGCGGCGAGCGGCTGCGACGCGGCCGAGGCGGCAGCGCAGTAGGTCGGGCCCACGCAACGCGGCACCAGTACGGTTGGCTGCTTGCGGCCCAGCACGCGACTCTTCCATTCGCGTGCTCGTGCCGCCAGCCGTTCGCGTCGATCCTCTGCGTCTCGCGGGTCGTCGTGATGCATGCCGATCTCTTCATCGTCGCCGACATGGCCGCCGATGTTGCACTCGTCGACGTCCTCCTCCGCTTCGTCACCCTCGCCGTCCGAGAGGTAGCCGGGCTCCACAAAGAACGCTTCGTGATCCGAATCCACGTCTGAATCACCGCCGGTATCGTCCTGGAAATGCTTTGCATTAGAAGACTCATAACAACCCCGCAGAGCCAAGAAATTGCAAATCAAAATGAGCATACATCATAAAAGCATGCACCTTTTAGCTGAAATCGTTCTATGTGTGTGGCTTTATGGTGGGAGGGGAGGGGTCCAATCACAAAGAGTAATAAACTGTTTTACCAAGTTTTAGTGAGTCAAGTAGGGAGCTAAAGAATTCTCCCAAGTAATGCTTGCTGATATAAAACGAATATTCGCAATCAGTCAGATCCAATGGTCTAATGAGGAAGATATTGAAAATTGTGGACAAAATCTCAAAATTTAAATAAGTCGGTGTAGCAAAGAAAGAGGACTGGGGAGAGTGGTTTGATTTTACAGAGGAATAAACTTTTTTTATGAGCTTTCAATGAGTCAGGTGAAAGGAAGAATTTTCTGAGATTCTTCAAAAATTCCTTTTTCTCACTCTTGAATCGAAAAGGAATTCAGCTTTTTTTTGCTGTACTCACTATGTTACAACCACCACATTTATCCTCCTCCTCTTCTCTCCCCCCCCCCCATTGAATCTCAAATAAATCATTGCCATGGTCAAACCCAAATTAGAATCGTTATTCAAAGCACCCCATACGACGTGACCAACTCAAGCACTCAATACCAAATTCTATTAACCTCTCATGCAGCTCATTCAGTCGACGCGTTCATGAAAAACTGCTCGAACATCTTGGCACGTCATAAGTGATGTCATAAGTGTCGCGAAAATTGAGTTTTTGCTAGATATCCAATTTCCACATTCTAGCGTTAAGAAAAATTACCGGAGCTAAGATGACATCCCCACTGAAGTGAATTCAACGATGTGGACAATACGTCAGTTGTGCGAATTAAAGCAAAATGATCTTCTGTGCGTGAGAACGTGACAAATACCCTTAAGTGAATAAAGAGACATGGGTTGACGTAGGTCGATGACGTGTGCGTGTCATCAAACTTTCAGAAAAAAAGAGATCTCTTTAGATTTTCCTACTTATTGCATCTAATATGCTTCCAAAAAAACTTCAGATTTTCCTACTCAAAACCTGCATCTACTTTGAACATGATATATAAGCTTTTTTTTTTCTGACTCCTGGACCTCTGGGAGAAAGGCCTTTCGCAAAATTGGTCTGAACAATTCTGAGAAGGTGTCATAGATAACATCTTCTCTCAATCTTAGGGCTCAAAGAAGATTCTACTTTGAAAGAGCATGCGTAAGAAATGAATTGATATCAAGATTGTTCTCTTTTTTTTTGTTAACTTTTCTCCGATCACAAAATATCTTAACCTATAGAAAACAAGATCGCTGAGCATAAATCAGATTATTCTGAGTATGTTGGAACTGGCACTCGTTAGAGTTTTTGCTCGCTTGATTAGGCAATTTTGCTATTCTGGTCTGGGAGGAAAAGGGGTTGCGGGACGAGAAGCGAAAAAACCGAGCGCTGCTCAGGCAAGCAAGTAGTTGCACTGAAAGACAGAGTAAAGATTTCTATGAAAATTTTTCCACAATATACTCATGTTGGTACTACCGAGTGCATAAACATTAGGAGATAACAGAAGACATAAATGATAGGAACATTGCAAAAAAATAAAAAATCAAAAATCAAGAAACAAAAAACTAGATTACCTCTTCATCCGACTTGCATTCATCGGCATCAGACGGTTCTTCCTCCCATTCCGCATCTGAGTCCACCTAAATTCAAAAGTTGCATTTACATAGAGACACATTAAACTACCATTACAATATGATTGACTCACTTCATAGTCAATTTTCTCCTCAACGCTTGAGAACGGACGTCTACCAGTAATGACTTTGCTACGAGTACGCCATGTGCCATAGTAAGGTGGGCGATAATTGTCGTGAAATTGGTACAGCTTTGCACGCATGGGGCTGAAAAAAAAAAGAAGAAATTCATCTCACACATCTAAACTTTTTTGTGATGTACATAATCATAATCTCAACATCAAAACTTACTTCGGTGGAGCTCCAACCAGTTTCTTGGGATTGATCGACAGTGATGATAGATATGACGTTTGTGAAATCTTAAAATGATAGACTCAGGTTGTACAAAGAAAAATTCAAAAATTACCTCAAGATGCTGCTCAAGGATGTTATCTTCCAACTTCAGAACTGGTCGTCGTTGTAATGGCGCAAGGGTCATGCCCTCTTTGATCTGAACATCAAAAAATTTCAGAACGTTCTGTGCCCTACATAAAAGTTTGATCAACGAAAGCGACCATTGGTAAAACAAATTAAAAAAACAACTAAATATAAAAAATGAACAATTATGAATGAAACATGAATTTTGCAATGAGCGGGTAAAAGATTCACTATCCTGAACGGAAAATTTTGATACAAGAACTCTAAGCGAACGCACCTCGAATGGCATGTACCACAACTCCTCATCGGCTTGAGCAACTAATTCTGGCTTCTTTTTCTCGACTTTACTGAAGAACTTCATGAATAGGGCAGATTCACGACGTTTCTTCTCCTCAAGAGCCTGAAAGGTCGGCAGTAAATACAAATGTTCGGAAAATGACAATATCAAACAGTTTCCTCTATGAAACAGTTTCCAGTCACCATGAAATCACAGCTGGTTTTGTGCAACTGATAAAATGATCTTGCACGTCTTCCAATCCCAGGCTCTGACTAACCTCTTCATAGCCTCCATTTGATGAGAAACGATGATTTTCATTACTCGCATACGCAGCTTGATCTTTATAGTCGCAATTTTTGACTTAGTCCTACTTATAAGTTACCAGTGCGTCACCTCTGCTTCGCAGAGGCTCGCACTGGCTGTACTAACCACATGCAACCTCGTAGCGCAAAATGATGGCTTTGATACTTACCTTGCGATGCCGATCATCTCGAATGAAATGTAAACAACTACTCATTCCAAAAGCTTTTTCGTGTAAGATCGGTGACTTTAAGGGAAAGAAAGTATTCTCCAAAAGATTAAATGCGATTTTGAATCAGTTACTGGGGTTATAATGACTTGATACTCGCCATAAAGATGATGGCAACCATGAATTACATCTCTGAGCAAAAGATGTCCCGCATTCCCAGGTAAAACCTTGACAAATCGATCATCTACGCAAATATTCCTTTTTGGCGCCGATCTTGCGCGAAAGTAAATTTTTTGCTCACTTTTCGGGCTAGGGTCCATAGTTTGCGGATTTACTTTCTAAACGAAACCATGACTTTAAAAGAAGTCCAATTACAGGCCCATTTTGGCGCGCGAAATGTCGCGTGGATCCATTTGGCGACAATTTCACAGGTTCCAATTATCGGATCGGCTTGTGGCTTTGCACATTTCACCTACATGCTGATAGCGTGCTATTACCAAAATTCTAGCTCAAGACCTTTGCTGGAACTCGCTCTACGAATTTCGTGACAGACAGAGATTCACACAAACACACACACACACAAACGTAAACAACCCTTAGCCCGTTATTATAAGTTATGATACACGAAGCCTGTTGAGTTCTCTCAAGAAAGCAACATTTTTCAAGCTTTTTCCAGGTTTCAGTGTGATCAACTATCATGTCAGTTAAATCGGGAATTTCAGTTACAGTGATAGACAGAAACTTTGGCTGTAGTCAAAATATAGTTCTAGTATTTTGGCTCTACATAGTGCATCTGCGGCAAGGACAACACCTGCGCGGAAAAACGGCAAACTTGTTATTGCCAACTTTTTGCGTGCATAAAAAATGGCATAGAACGCAAATTTGATATGGTAGAATATTCCAACTTACCTAAAGATGTTAACAGGTAGTAATCGAGTAGGCCTTAATATTGATTTCTTATGCTTATCAAGATTACCTAGTCCATTTGCTTCAATTCTATCACCCTAAGTGTTCGCTCTATACAATTTTTTTTCGTACACATGCAGTTGACGGCAAACAAGATCACCATTTTTTCGCGCAGATGTTGTCTCACCGCAGAAGCACTATACGGACCGTCAAAATACTAGAAATGTACTTCGACATCAATGCAGCCGATTTGTCTATTACCGTAACTGAGACAACAAATCCATACGCAACAGGCTCTAAAAAAGAAGACGCATTGTAAACTGTAGCACATAGCCGTTCCAAATCCCCTGTATACTCGTTCCAAGTTCTTTCCAGAGAAACGTGCGATCTTCAGCGCGAAACCGCTCACGATGTCAGCAATTCGTGAGCTGTATTGCAACCACTTCGCAACATATCGCAGAAAGAGGCAACCACTACGCACTTGTCCGGGTCTACACTCCTATCCGGATGAGAACACTAAGTATAGGGGGGGGGGGGGGGGGGACAACGCGCGATCGCTCGTTCACATAACGGCCAACACGCGCGTGACATCTTGCGCGTGTGAACTTGAGCACATCGTACAGCCACTTCACCTCAATATGAAACATGTTGCGGGTGGAGCCGGGCCAGCTACGCGTTGTGGTCGAAGATTTTATGGACTTCTCCTTCGTTCCTTACTGTGGACAAATCTACAAGGAAATCTTGTAAGCTTTCATCTCGCTAGTTTGGGAGTCAGCAGTCATGCTAACTCCATCGCTATTGTACACTATACAAATGGCTAAGGTTTATTCGTTGGCGGCATCTGTGGCCGTACTTACTAACGAATCCAGTGGGTTCCGCTACCCAGCAAGGCTTAACCCACACCCACATGATCAACAACATAGCTGATGGGTTAGGAAACCCACCCTGGTGGATTAGTCGGTGAATGCGACTACTGGACTGGCTTCGTCATCATCATTGTCCGAATCGTGTGAACTTGAGATATAAATTGCATCAATATATACCAATAGATACGCTTAGTATAGTTTTTGCTGTGCCAATATTTGCTGGCAATATCTGCGCATGAAGAAGTTGCCAGCATACTACAAGGCAAAATTATGCGCTCTATGGCCATTTAGTATGCGCAAGTTGCCAGAAAAGCGGAGCAATTTGTTCATGTCCAAATGTAGTCGGCAAATTGACACGGCAAAGACACTAAATCACGCATCAGATTCTACTAACCTACAATTTCTGCACGAAACCCGTTGTTTAATACAGAATGGAGATAGCGCATGCTCTTGTGGTAACTCATCTACACTCTTTGGGGTGCATACCATTCTGCTTTCAACCCAACTTAATACACCCTTCTTATTGAATCTGGCTTAAAGTGTCATCCCATTCGGGCTTGGAGGGTGCCTGTTCGAGTGTTAGTGCCCTATTGTCAGCTGATGATTCACTAAGAAAATAGTATGAAACTTGTAGAAGAGCAAAGCCCCTGATTCCACTTTATAAGTGAAAGAAATTATCATAGAAGTTTTGATGCATGTTTATGTATAGACTTCAAGTTGCATCAAAATCAGCTGAGAATAGTTATGGAGCTGCGCATCTACAAAGATGATGTTCCTTATGAAAGTATCTCAATTCAGCCAAGCCATATCAAAAAAGTGATATTCTGGACGTACTCGTATGACTAAGTTGTGTACGACTAAGGTCAGACATAACAATCAAAAAAGGCAAATTCTTCGAAACCCGCTCACCTCTTCTTCCCGACGTTTCGCTTCTCGTCGTTCTTCTTCTTCACGTCGCTTAGCCTCCTTTTTCTCCTCCTCTTCACGTTTCTTCTGAGCCAACTCTTCCTTTTTTCGTTGTTTTTCTTCCTCTTCTTTTCGTTTTCGCTCTTTTCTTTCTTCTTCTTCTTTACGACGCTCTTCCTTCTTTCGCTCTTCTTCTTTGCGCTTTTCTTCGCGTTCTCTGGAATATTTTTGTATCAAGTTTAGCGAAGTTTTCCCAAGAACAGAAACGACATATCTTCCATCCAATAAAAAAACAAATGCTTCTATAATCAGCTCTTGACCTACTACTAATGCAGTGTTTCATGACCCAAAATGACGTGGTAACCAGATGTGATACCAGTTTTGCCCAGCTTGAAGATTATAAACTCGGTATTTGACTTTGTTCTATGCAACGAATCAAATGATGTGTTTGTGATGCGTTCTTGAAAGATCAAAAGTTGTCAGACATAATTTACGTGGCAGTTAAATGAAAAGAGAACAAGGAAAATACCCACTTCTCCCTACGCTCCTTCTCCAAACGTTTCTCTTCAGCAATTCTTTCCTTTTCAGCCTGAAAATACCAATATCAAGCACTTACGATAGATACAAGATTCAGATACTTACCCTCGCTCGTTCCCTTTCCTCCTCTTTCAGCTTCTTTTGTAACGCCCTGCGAGCTTTCTCTGCCTCACGTTCTTCTTTGCTCATCTTAGGTGTTCCTTTCTTCGCCGAGGTTACACCACCGGCTGAAGCAGTTTTTGAGGGTGTGTTACGGCCTGAGCTTTTCGAAGGGCTAGATTCATTGTCGTCCAAGGTAATAACTTCGTCGCCATCGACCTGAATATATCAAATTCAACATCAACGTGAATATAACTGTTAGCTGAGAAAAGCTAAAACAGCTGTTTGGGTGGATATCTAGCCATAGAAATGAGTGGGAAGGCATTATGGCTGTTGAAATTTCAAAGAGTACAAATTTAAACAGCTTTTCGTACATGTAAGCAATGCGTACCACGCGATACCAATGCTAAGCGCTGCCTATTTTGTAAGTGTGCTTTCCTTTTCTTTTCCAATGTGATATTTTCCCGCGCAAGCGATACCCGAACAAGTTCAAATCCCTTTTCTATGTTATAGTTACTGTAGGTGATCGGTGAAATTTTTACTGGTTAATGTTACTCTAGGTGATCGGATGAAATTTTTACTCCAAAAAATGAAGCCGACGACTCAAGCGTAGTCCATCCGTCAGAATTGTTTGTTACCTCGACTACCTTACCGCTAGGGCTCACCTCCCGAAAAATTCTCTTCAAACTTAAGACCTAAAACTTGGTACTCTTTAGAGCTGCATATTTCAGCAAACCAGATTCCCACTGATATATTATTGGAATTATATCATATTCACAATTTAGCATTAGAAAAGTTGCCTACCACCCGTTACAAACCTGTTCAAGACACAGACATATCTTATAATTTTTTTTGCTGTCTTGTTCACTGACTGATCACCCCAACATATCAACACTTTAAAGTTACCAAAAAAAAGTTGAATCACGAAAAGAACTTTCTGGTAACGTATACGACTCTGTCGAAAAGAAAAGTGGCAATCCTTGTTGATTACAATTGAAACACTAATTGGATCCACGCTTATAAACTGACAGTAACCTCCCAATTTTTTTTACAAAGAAGCTGCTCAATTTTTTACGTATCTAATCTTTCATAATTTACCTTCAACTTCTTAGCCGCATCCACTTCTGACGATGAGAGATGGCGTTTTACTCCTCGTCCTTCTCCATTGATGTCAATTTCTTCGTTTTCTTTTGTACAAACGTCCACTTCAGCCATTGTTTGAGTAGTTAGCAGCGTTAGTATTAATCCCAAGTTGAAAGCTGAAACCAAATTTTTTCCATCGAATATTCTACAACCTCCTTCTGATCGAATATACGAGATTTATTGAGCGTGCTGATCACAAATATGATAATTTTTCGCTCGTAATTTTCTTTCTGGAAGACCCACACCTCATGGTCCCTAACCCAGAACTATAGTATTTGACACGGTGGGCTAAATCTGAGAGATGTTTTCCAATGAGTATTATTGTAAAATATCAGTGAAGCGAAAAGAGGAGTGGCTAGCAAAATACGAGTGTATGAAAGATCAACGCATGGGGCGTCATCACTTGGGGTTAGAAGCTATTAAAATGATCGATCGATTCGTATGTTTTGCGTGGGATCTACCATCCTGATACATGGCCGACCAAATCTTCTTTTAATATATTACGAATGGAGACCTTCCAGAAGCGGTGGTTTACCTAAACTAGCGGATTTAAATGTAGTTGTCAAGGTTCCAGGTATAGATTTGGATAGATCAATCAGCCAAATTAGGGCATAATCCTCAGATTCGCATGTGCCAGCAAATCTGACCAAAGTGGTCCAAACCGAAATTTGTAGGATTTGTAGAATATTTAGTGGCAAATCGCGAAGGGGATAACAGATGTGAAATAGTTGAAATAAATTAAAGAGCAGATGTAATCCGTGTTGTAGGTTTGCGAAAAATGATGAGAAGCAGATCGTCGTAAATAAGTAAGTATAAGGCAAACAACGAAAACAGGAGGAATGAGCAAGATTTGCACATAATTACCCGCTTAAATGGATTCGGGAATGCTAGAAGACCCACTATGAAAAGAATCACCCAGAAGCTTTTTTTAGAACTCGTTTGATCTTAAAATGAAAAACAGCGAAATTTGAAAAGCTTGAATTGGCGCGCGACCGTCACGAAGGGGCGTATTCCGTGGGAGGCGGAGCGGTTGGTGATCGATGTCTGTCGACAATCTCTGCGCTCTAGCGCCGTTTCTCGCATCTCGCTACCCCCCCCCCCCTCCCCTTCCCCCATTTTCCGCCGCTCGACGGGTTGAAGTCGAGAGTGCCATTACCCGCGTAGAACATGCACGAATTGTTTGCTGTTGCTGAACTGCGCTTAATCACGACTTATGCAAGTGGACGAGTTGCTTAGTTTTGACTTTTGGTGGGCATTTTAGCCTTTTCGCGAGTTTTTTTCTGTCTGTAATTAGCGGAACCGAATCAAGTTTTGTTGGGATGAACTCTATGTTGTCGATAAATCACGTGTTGCGATGAATGACACGGGTTTACTCGCGTCCTTTCAGACTTTCGTATTTTCTTCTACCTTTCGTCTACTTGCAAAATTGAGAACTATGTTTTGCAACTCAATATCGTGAAATAAAAGCTGCAGTTGCCAGCTTTCGAGTAGAACATGTACAATATCAGCGAATTTTTTTGGGCTTGTCAGCAACGTTGATTATACTCGTGGCATATGTGTGTAATTGCACACAACACCTAGAAAATGAGGTTGCAATGCACCACTTACGCAATTCTCGTGATTGACCTTTCTGATCCTATTTTGTTTATCCAGTGTACACTGTGTATTCACACTTTGTACATGATGAAGCAATTTATTTGCTAGTACTTCTCTCTTCCTCGAACTCGTCCAGCTTAGAGCAGCTGGCTTGAACGACTGTTTACAAACTTTTGACTTTTAGTATCACTTATTCTCCCATGTTTCTTTTCTACTTCAGAACTGCATATATATGATTCACCGTAAAGCTTTAGCCATATCCATATTAACCCTCCTTTTTCTGAAAATATTCGCAGTTTTGGCAAAAGCTGGACGAGTATACTCGGGAGTTTTTGCGTCTTCAACTCCAACAGAACTCGTCCACTTTTCGTACAACGGTGCATCAGTATTGGACGAGTTTTGCGGTGGCCATTTTCGTGCGTACGGTCTGTTTGATCATCCAAAAATCGTGATCGCCTCTATTTGTGGACATTGCGCCACCACGAACGACGATCGTCGTCAACGTGTGGACAGCACGACACGGGCGAATCCCTATGGGGCTTGTGTGTGTGTGCGTGTGGTCAGGCCCCTATTCTGCACACAGCTGCAGTACTCGTACAGTTCGTATAGTCGTCCCGTAGTTCCACAGACATCTACGCACTAATTACTTCTGATCAATATCGATCGATATCGCTGATGAACCTAAAAATATCGCCACTAATGGCTATTTCGGAGGACGGTTATCATCACGAGACCTTATCAATAGGTGTGATTCTCGTTTTTCCGCCGTTACACAGTCAGAGAAGCGCCATCGCTTGCCCCGACTGGACTGTCTCTAAATTTTCTCTCTCGGTCTTTGGACTCTCTGCGGTTATCATACTCTCTAGTGGCATTGCTGACAAGGTTAATTTGCTAGTTTTCGTTGCTTTTCACATGGCCTTTCGACTTTTTTGTCTGTGTTGAACGGGAAAATGCAGTAATATAGCTGAGAGTATATTTTCCATTTTTACATCACTTTCTCGATAAATTACACTAAATTTATTGGACCGCAGCATTGTCTCAGGATTTCCTTCGAGGGGGAGGGACGAAAATTTTCTGGCATTCTCCCCAAAATCGTATACGTGCTTATAGGCCCGGAATTTTGGAAAAAGGGGGCGTGGCTGCAGGCCTCCACCAAAAAAATTTTTTCATTTATCTCGAATTTCTAGGGAATAAAAAAATATTTTGATTATTTACAGGTGCAAAACCAAGATATTATATTTGAGCTCATCTATTTACAATCCAAGAAGTACGAAAAAACCACGAAAAGCAGCAGTTCATAAATATATGCGACTTTGCCTTCGGTTCCTTACGCCTTTGGAGTATACTGTGTGTAATAGCACATTTTCTTGCTTTGCATATCAACTTTGCCTTGTCCTTGATAGAACAATGAACTAATGGTTTTTTACTTTTTGGATCGGTAGAGGTTTTATAATCTGTAATCTCTAGATCATTCATCAGTATAACTTTGCCCCTAGCAACGATGATCCATCCATCGAAGGGGGTCTTCAAACTTCAAGCGCTCTTGTCACTAAAAGCAAACATTTGGGCTCGAGCCGAGCGAACAGAGCAAGAAGTCGTAACAGCGTTTGTTTACCTTGTAGTTTTTATCAATGACAGATAGTGGTCGTGGCTTCCAAAGAGCTTTAAGTAGCGCGCACTGCAACGCGCGTGCGGCTTCTTTGCTATCTTTCAAGTCTTGTTAACATTTTGGATACTTCACTAGGAGGACAGTTCAAACAAAGCAAAATGTACCACAGTCAGTCGTTGCTAATGTTTATGGTGCATTTACGGTGGTTGTCTTTGACTTTTCGGACAACAATACCACAGCTTATGCTGAAATGTAAAGTCATTCAAGTAGTCACAAATACTCTTTTTTTCAAATTCAAAAAGCCATGCTGAAGTCTTTGCATTGTAGTTCTCGAGCCAGCTCTCGAAAAATTTACCTCATGCTTGAATTCAAAAATTCTGACACTATAAGTTCAAGAGCTTCATTCCAGAACAATTTATTCCAAGTTTATCAGAAAGGCAATTTGTGGATTTTTTCTAGATTTTTTGAGACATTCTCTAAGTTTTTTTTCCACTTTCTGAGCCTTCGCATTGGCACTTACACATCTTGTTTTTACTCTGAACTTTTAATCCTCATTCTCGTCAAACTCCTTTTTCTTATCAAAAAATGACTCACTTCTTGCAGGAAAAAAGCTAAACCATCACTTTGAGGCCCTGTCACTGGATTGCAACCTACGTTATTCAGACTTTGGACCAGATCTTTTTCTGATTTACGAATCATTACTGTAGTTTAGGGACCAGATCTCGCTTCAGCTGTGGTGAATTTAATGGATCAGACTTTTTTTGAATTCCATTTCTGCTTCGACATTCATCTTTTCTGGCAAGACTAAGCTTGATCTTTACGTATATGAAATTTACTCGTTATTTTTGATTAATCAGATATGAAAAATATCCATTGAAAATTCGAAAAAATTATCAACTTAGGATTTCCAATCCCCTTTCTCTCCTTATTTCTGCTTGTATGCATCTTGCTTCTAATAATTCCCAGACTGATATGTTTCTAAGCGCTCTGATGTGGTTCTAATTCGCAAATGAGCTTCAATTGCTACGAGAGGTACTTCCCCGTCTGGGTGATATTATGATTTTTCTGCGATTTACCTGTTTTTTGTAACGTGGTATCTTGGGGATGTAAATAGGACCAGAATAACCATTTCAAGATTACGAAGAACGAAACAAAAGTGCTAGAATGATCGGTGGATTTTCGTTTACAGTAAGAGGGCCTGAAATTTTAAAATCGATTTTTCTGGCTCAAGAAAATCTTTTTCCATTTTTTTCTGGTGAATTAGCTACAATAATGTCTTTTCCTGGCTTAATAGATAATATTCCTGAGTTCTCAATATTTTTACTTTAGAAAACTCGTCCGTATAGTTAGGATCGTGAAAGTACCTTTTCGTTTCAACTCCTTGGTCCTGAAAATTGCGCGAGTTTTTGCGTGTCAAAAATTTCGGTCTAATCGGAGTTTTGTTTTGATTAAGTATATGCTATTATCCAAACCTACTTGACTAATGTGAATTTTTTTTGCTATTTCGGGAAAATTCTGATGCTCAGGAACGAGTTTTTCCATTGATCTCATTTACTTGAGTCCATGAACTAATTTTTATTTTTCAACCATTTTTTTCGCTTGGAACTGTAACTTATTACTGTTTTTCGTAATCTTTGATGTTTCTAGCAGAGCTTTATAACCCAGACATTTCGTCCACTCTGTTAGGAAAATGCTTCTATTTCCTTGAAAGACATTCTGTCCAAAATGACAGATTGGCTATGGTTCTATACATATTCGTCATTATTACGAAATAAAACGGCACAACACTTTGGCACACCTGAACATTTGTAATTTATAGACATCAGTCGCACCCAGTGGGAGTAGAAAAGTGACGTGACAGTTTCCGTTGTGAAACTCAAATTAACTATTTACTCGTTTTGTGGACAGAGATTGCGCT